GAAATAATTTTCATTTGTATTTGGGGAAAACACTTTTCTTCTTCATGACTTTCTTGCTCAAAACTACATTCTTGCATGAATTTACTTTTCCAATATGGCACTAATAAATCATTTAATCACCCAGTTATCACTACCTCATAGGCAATGGTAGTTAACACTAGCACCAATTCTTACAATTTTGAGAATCCATACAATCTAACAAGCTACAATTAAGAAATCATAGTTCATAACTTCTGAATGTCTTTTTTTTAAAAAAATAAATGAGGATCATTGTTTTGGATTTTCTAAACTGGCAAATACATTTTTATATCAGAATTTGATATCTTGCCCTTCTGTTTATCAGTACAGGGTTGTTTTTAATAGTGACAATAGTTGACTTTTCATAGCAGTTGGACCAGAAATGAGAAGGGATAGATAGCTGATAAAAGATTGATGGGCTTGTTGTTGTTGTTGTTAGTTGCGAAGTTGTGTCTGACCCATTGTGACCCCATGGGCAATGTTCCTCCAGGCCTTCCTGTCCTCTGCCATCCTCTGGAGTCCATTTAAGCTCACACCTACTGCTTCAGTGACTCCATTCAGCCACCTAGTTCTTTGTCATCCCGTTCTTTTTTTGCCCTCAATCTTTCCCAGCATTAGGATCTTCTCCAGTGAGTCCTTCCTTCTCATTAGGTGGCCAAAATATTGAGTTTCATCTTCAGGATCTGGCCTTCTAAAGAGCAGTCAGGATTGATCTCCTCTAGTACTGACCGGTTTGATGGCCTTGCAGTCCAAGGGACTCGCAGGAATCTTCTCCAGCACCATAGTTCAAAGGGCTCAATTCTTCGGTGGTCAGCTTTTCTTATGGTCCAACTTTCACAGCCATACATTGCAACTGGGAAAAGCATAGCCTTGACTATACACACTTTTGTTGGAAGGGTGATGTCTCTGCTTTTTAGTATGCTGTCTAGATTTGCCATAGCTTTCTTCCCCAGGAGCAAGCATCTTTTAATTTCTTGGCTGCAGTGGTGATCTTGGAGCTGAGGAAAATAAAATCTGTCACTACCTCCATTTCTTCCCCATCTATTTGCCAGGAATTGAAAGGGCCGGATGTTTGCTAAAACAAAGCTGGATGGTGTTTGAGTTTCTGTGAGAGAGGGGGCAAGGAGGACAAAGTGACATCATGCTCATCATGATGTCAGGATACAAATGAAGCAAATTATGTACATGTGTCATTTCACATCATGAGACGGCTGAGACAAATTACACAAGTTCATCATTTACACAATGTCATCATGATGGGTGTGTCTTCTTTTGATGCCTTTGGCTTCTATGGGTTTCCTATGGGATGGAGAAAAACAAGAAGTGGTTCTGAAGTTTAAATTCCTACAGTTGCAGCTTGGATACAATATGTAATTATTTTACCATGGTGAACAATAACATGTACTGTAGCATGGTTCATCGCAGGGGTGAAATCCAGCAGGTTATGACAGGTTCTGGAGAACCGGTAGTGGAAATTTTGAGTAGTTCGGAGAACCGGTAGCAGAGATTTTGAGTAGTTCGGAGAACCAGCAAATGCCACCTCTGGCTCCACCTCTGGCCCCAGAGTGGGGTGGGAATGGAGATTTTGCAATATCCTTCCCCCAGAAGTGGGGTAGGAATGGAGATTTTGCAGTATCCTTCCTCTGCCATGCCCACAGGCCACGCCCACCAGACCACCAAGCCACGCCCACCAAGTCACGCCCACAGAACCGGTAGTAAAAAAAAATGGATTTCACCACTGGTTCATTGGCACTTGGGGTAGAAGCAACAGCTGAATATATTGTATATGGCATGCCCAGATAGAGTATTACATTTAGACTCAACCATTGTGAAAGATGGAAAGATGGCTATTTTCCATCCACTTGGGGAATCTCTATTGGAATAATTTCCAAACAGAGAGTCATAACAAGAACTTTAAAAACTGTTTTCCAGAGCTGAGTGTATAATATGCATGTGGCTAAAGCAGTAATGATCAGCGAACAGATGGATTTCAGAAAGAACAGACATGATAATTTTTTCACCTACAGCATCCCAAACACATCAGCATCTAACTATAATCTTTCCAGCACATGACTGACTGGACAATGCACTCACACACACACACAAAAGCATCCTTTGAGTTACTGTAGCTTAGAGAAGAGAATTCTACCTGGACCACAATAAATTGTCCTAAAACTGGATTAGATTTTGTCACGGTCTGCTTCCTGCACTATGCCTAGAAATATACAGTGTAAATCAAACTTCTATCCAGATCCTCAAGAATAACATTAACAATTAGAAATCCAAGTTGAAATAGAAAGATTTACCTGTGGCACTGAAAATATCTCCACTCTATACTGTTTATTTGGCCTGTATTTCTAATTAGACCAAAAAAAAGGGAATATTATATTGGTGGATCTCTATTGACCCTATTACAAAATATAATCAATGATCATCAGTGCAAATATCATCAGAGATATTTATTTATTTATTTATTTATTTGTTTGTTTGTTTGTTTGTTTGTTTATTTATTTATTTATTTATTTATTTATTTATTTATTTATTCTTAACTGCTCAACTCAAATGGACTCAATTAGTATACAAACTAGAAACACACACACACATACACCAGATTAAAAACATTAAATTAGATGGATAGGCCAGAGTTGAAGTTCACACACTTAGAAGTTTTCAATGTTTGAGTAACGCTGGTATAGACAAAAAGCAGATAGCGGGAAAGAAAAGAGGGAAAATGGAGCATAGCCTTAACTTTCCCACTGTCCTTTGTGGTGCATAGGTTCTGGGGTATTGAAGACTCAATGGTTGTAAAATTACACTTATTTCACTGTCTACCAGAAAAGTCTTCCCACATCTTGGGTAGGACAAACAAACTAAACTAAATTAGTACAGTTCTATACTCAAAACTGCCAATATTTAAAAACTAGTGCAAAAACTAGAACTAACCTTGAAGAGGCCATTGTGAAGCAAAGGGATTTCACAAGAGAAGTGGAAAAGAAGACGTGCCATCCGCCTAAATGTTTATCTCTTGCAATATACATCAGAATATCATTTTTATTTTTATTGTTATTATTATTACAAAATAGCTAGAAGTGTTAGTTCTGAATACTAAAGTATTAGTATATTTTTTGCATTTCACTTCCTGTTGACTTCATAGTTTAATTACAGATAGATAATAAAGGGGAGCATCACACTGGAGGTAGTGATAAATTAAAAAGGCAATCCCACCTCCCCACCCCCACGCATTCTGTTCCCTCCCTCCTCAACCTTTTAATTATAGTTTTATCTGGATTGGGATTTCTATTTTTATTGTTTTATAAACATTTATGTTATGATTTAAATGTTTTATGCTGTAAGCTGCTCAGAGTTGTTTCGTTAAGAGATGGCTGGCAAATAAATGAAATAAATAGATTCGGTAGATAGGTAGATAGGTAGATAAATAGATAGGTAGGTAGATATTTCCTCAGAAGAAATACCACATTATACCACAGAACTGCTCCTAGTGTTGCCAGGTGTCCACTATTTGAGTGGACAGTCCGCTTTTTTCACATTATGTTCACTATTTTTTTTCACAAAATAGTGGACATTTTTTTATTCAAAAGCTTTATGATGAAATTAAAATATAATTTAATATTTTACATATTATTATAATATATTTGATGTTTTGAATTTTAAGTAAAGTTTTGAAGTGATTATTTTAATATGTGTTAAAATGTTTGTAAGAAAATATATAATTTAATTGTAATTTTTTAAAAAAAATTTTACTACTTAACACGCCCCCCCCCCACCGCTTGTCCACTATTTTTTGGAAGCAACCCTATGCTCTTCTAATAGACTTCCAGACTGCTCACAGTTATCTAAAGGAAGATCCTAGAATACAATACATACTAAACAGAAGAGCAAACTGAACAGCAAGGTGAAGAGCAAGCTGAACACCAAACTGAAGAGCAAAAGTTTCTGTTAAGAATCACCTTTTTTACTGTTAACTGTGACAGTTAGGGGAGGGCCGGGAGATTCAAACACACTAGCTGGCCTCTGATTGGCCCACGTATCTGTACATTCCAAAAGCCATCAATAGGCACAGCTATAGAGAAATATTTTTTCTCTAATAGGTAGATAGGTAGATAAATAGGTAGGTAGGTAGGTAGGTAGGTAGGTACGAAGGGGAGAGAGAACACTTTTTATGTCTGATGAAATAGAGCATAGCTCACAAATACTTACAGCCACCATTCATTTTTTAAAAGCACTGCAAGGATCTTTGTTGTGTTGGATAGGCAGTACCTCTGAATTTACCTCTCACTGAATAGACTTCCATGGTGATAAGATAGTTAAAACTGGTGTTCCTGAAAAAACTGCCATTAAAAAAAGCACTGAAGCACAATCAATTCATTATACAATGGAACTTATATTTTTATTTCAGTATACTCAAAATTGTGTTTTAGAGCCTCGGATTTAAGACTTGGCACTTATATATATTACTTCTATTAAATGCTTGTCAATATAGTTCCCTTTAGCAGTCAATACTATTTGTTGCCATCTGTTTCCTTGGAGATAACCTCATAAAACTTTCATCTGAGTTTTACACATCCCAATTAATTACAGCCTGCAAAACACACACACACACACACACACACACACACACACACACACACACAGATATATTTTTTTTCTTTTTCAATTTTCAGATTATCTAGAGTTCTGGCAGATAACCATGGTGATAAGCATAGCACTAACACCTTTAAGGATGCTACCTGGATAAGCTGTTGCATCAGACAATGGAGAATTGGAACAATGATAGTACACATCCTTTGATCTGAGAAAATGGATCAAGAAAAGCTTCCCAATGAATATTTTGTGTTTTACAATCAGAACATTTTTTTTAAAAAAAAATGCATTCCTTTGCAAACCAGCAAACCAGCAACAAAGAATTCTCTTTTTTTCAGATAGGGTAAGGAGGATATGTTTCAGTAGTGGTTTTCACTTACCTTCGCTACCGGTTCAGAACTGTGAGCGCATGCGCAGAGTGTCTGTGATGATGTCTGGGCAGGTGGGCGGAGCCTCCCGCCGCTGCTGCTACTGGTTTGCCTGAATCAGGATGAACTGGTAGAAACCCACCACTGATATGTTTACATACTGTATATATACAGGTTAGCAGCAAACCTATTATATATTCCCCTCCACACGCACACATATTGGATGCAAAAAAAATATAGTCCCACTTAAATTATAGCTTGGATATATATTCAGTTAAATTAATTTGGATAGCAGAACCATGAAATATTATTCCTTGAGGCTGTAGACCAGAGACACTCAAGTTGGGTTCCAGGAAAACCTAGTAATTTTTGGATGCTTATCAAATGTAGCTCAGTAAACAATGGCACACAGGATTTCTGAAAATCTGCTCCTTTGTCACATATTTGATTTATCTAGGCAGAAAAGAAGCTCAATTATTCAATGCAACTACATCAGTGGCATACCTAGAATGATCAGAAACTCAGTCAAACCCAATTAAAACTTTTGACCAGAGAATGTGACACTCTGTGACTATAGCATTTCGTGACTAGCTGGGAAATGAGATCAGTAAAAGGGATGTTACTGAGAAGCCATTAAAAACCAAACTAGGAAATACGGTAGTAGAGAAAAAGCATAAAAACCAGGATATTTAGCACAGAGATGTGTGCAATATATTTTCAACTATTTAATCAAAATTGATTAGATGCTCCGTTGATTTACATATACAGCTTGGTACGGAAAAAATTCATTGGTTTCAGAGATTTACTTTTTAAAAAGTTCCTTGTATTTAACATTCCATAAGTTTTGCCTACCTTAACATTATGCCCATTAGTTAAAAAAAAAAAGTCACACTTGAAAAAAACCCATAAAATGACATCTTGCATGGATGTGACTCTCATACACAGTGCCAGAAATAAATTATTTTTTAGCACCTCCAGTGCTAATTGTTTTTATTTATGCAAAGATTCAGGCCAGGTAGAAACAAACAAACGAAGACTTAAAATTTTTACTGTATTGTTTACTTCTTGAATCAAAAGCTCTTCATCTTTTCCTCATACTTTTCGATACACATCTGAATTCTTTTCCATACACATCAGGCCTTAATTCAAAGTCCAGCTGCTAGGATAAGTTTGAGTCTTAAAAGAACTGTAACAGAAAACTGAGTATTCATGGTATTCGTTCTATGTGACCACTCTGAAGTACTCCAATTCCTTCTGACATGGCTTGGCCACTTCTTACCTATTTTTTTTCCTCATGTCCCTTGGGGCTTTTGTCCTTGGCTGCCTCTAAGTCTACCTGTGTTACAAACCTCCACTTAACCTCTAGAAAATAGCAAAGAGATGAAAAACTTCTATATAGGGTAGTTCCAAAACCATTAGTTTATCCAGTGCATTTAGGATCTGTTTCTTATTTTAAAAAAATTCTTTTGAAAATCGTATCTTGGGTTTTAAGAACTGTCTCTTATTCAGACTTTATAGATATCTTCATTCTGGCTATTTTACCAGGCTATTTTATGTGACATTAACTAAATTCTACCACAACAAACCCTTCTGCTACTCGGATCTGCTTTCAGTTTTTCTCACATATTTCACCTTTTATTTTTGTCTATTCCTACCTTTTTTGAGTACCCCGTCAGAAATACTTTCTGCACATATCCATTTTATACAGAGTCCCCTGTGTTATTTCCAAAGTGAATCATCAAAATCTGTAGTTACTATGCCCTAATAAGCAAACAACTGGCCCAGTGGTGGGATTCAGCCAGTTCACACCTATTCGGGAGAACCGGTTATTAACTTTCTAAGCAGTTCAGAGAACCGGTTGTTGAAAGAAATCTTATTTTGTTTTTTTCTCCACTTTACAGGGCTAATCCTATAAGGAAGGCAGGAAGGAAACATTCTGGTGTTGTTTCTAGCCTAATCTTTATTGCCCTGCTTACAGAAACTGCCTCTCTGGTTAACCCTTATTACATGTTAGCAGCTAAAGCGAAGCGCCCATCAATGTGAGTGATGTTGAGTTGGCCATGCCCACATGGTCACATGACTACTGAGCCATGCCTACCCAGCTTTTCATTAGGGCAGAGAACCGGTTGTTAAATTATTTTAATCCCACCACTGAACTGGTCCCTTCCAACACCTGGTACCTAATTTTGTGAGGAACGCTGCCTTTCCAAAATTCTTAATTCTCTGTGCCGTGTGTATCTCATCCTGGGCATCTTGATTTACAGATTTGTGATTTGCTATTTGTTATGGATGAATTCCCAAGTGATTTATCAGTGAAAATCAGGTGTTTGCTTCAATTGGCATCAGAATTGTTGGAGGAAGTAAAACTCAAGCTGCATTCTCAGTGGATGAGAATAGAAATGATCATCATTTAACCACCTTAACAGCAATAGCACTTAGACTTATATACCACTTCATAGTACTTTATAGCCCTCTCTAAGCAGATTACAGAGTCAGATATTGAACAATTACATTTATTGCTGATCTCAGGTTATTTAACCTAGATAGAATTAATTGTTCCTTAAAGCCAGATGATGATGCAGCAGCCACAGCCAGAAAAGCCAATGCAATCCTAGGTTGCATTAACAGAGGGAGAGAATCAAGATCACATGAAATATTAATATCACTTTATAAAGCCTTAGTAAGACCACACTTAGAATACTGCATCCAGTTTTGGTCCCCATATTATAAAAAAAGATGAAGACAGTCTGGAAAGAGGAATAAAGATGATTAGGGAAAACATATGAAGAACGATTACAGGAATTTATTTTGTCTAGTTTAATGAAAAGAAGGACTGGGAGTGACATGATAGCAGTGTTCCCATATCTAAGGGGCTGCCACAAAGAAGAGGGGGTCAACCTATCTTCCAAAGCACTAGAGGCAAGACAAGAAACAATGGATGGAAACTACTCAAGGAGAGAAGCAATTTAGAACTAAGGGAAAATTTCCTAACGGTGAGAGCAATCAACCAATGGAATAGCTTGCCTTCAGAAGTTGTGGGTGGTCCATCACTGGAGGATTTCAAAGAGACTGGAAGACCATTTGTCAGAAATGGTATGGGGCAGTGGTGGCGAACCTATGGCATGTGTGCTGGAAGTGGCACACAGAGTCATCTCTCCAGGCATACCAGCCGTCTCCTGTTGCTCTTCCAGATTATGGGCGCTGGCCAGCTGGCCTTCGCATACACGATAGTGCTGGAGGTTTCCAGCAGCTCCATGGCGTGCATGCACATGCTGGGAAGCTGAGCTTCCGGTTTCCAGCATGCACATGCGCGCCGGCCAGCTGGTCTTCATGAATGCATGCGCACCAGAAACCAAGACCAGGTGACCAGCATGTGCACACCGGAAACTGGAAGCTCAGCTTCCCGGCATGCACATGCATGCTGGGGAACTACTCTTCCAGTTTCTAGTGCTCCCACACATGCACACCGGGGAGCTGCTTTTCCGGTTTCCGGTGCTCCTCCGCGTGTGCATGGCAGGACATTTCAGCACTCAGTGCCTAAAAGGTTCGCCAACACTTAAGGTACTAGAAGACCTGCAAAGTCCCTTCCAACTCTGTGATTTTGTTATTCTGATTATTTTTCCAATATATATATTGTCTAATATACCATTATCAAACAGCCTCAATTCTGGTAAGAAAGCCTAGTTTAGCAAATACAAGAAAAGGCTGCATTGTACCAGTTACTCTTGTGGCTCTGAGGAGGTTGAATCAATAGAATATGAACTCCTAGTTGTGTGTTCTGAAGCTGACAGATACACAATCCTGTCTTACTGCCCCAATTATACAGCTGTTCCAATTTTACTTTATGTTGCAAAGCTTGCCATTTCAAGGAGAGAGAGAGAGGGAGGGAGAAAGAGAGGGAGAGAGGGAGGGAGAGGGAGAGGGAGAGGGAGAGGGAGAGAGAGAGAGAGAGAGAGAGAGAGAGAGGGAGAGATGAATTTTGTACAGTCACCTGCAGGATAAGAAAAATGTACTCTTGATTAGTAGGAATTTCTCTAATTTAATTATGCATGTAGGATAAATGTTTGAGTCTTAGATTTGGGGTTATTTTATGCTCGTTTATATTATCATGTGAATGGATATGCACTTAAAAAATTATTTGATTTATTCAAGATCTATACTTACTATGGGTATTTACTACTGTATTTCAGAATTCTATTTAACCCTGTTCTTTCTCCTGCTGCTTCTTATTTGGGACTATTTCGCTCTCCTCCAAAAGGTTGGATAACTTTTCCTCTTCAATGGGTTAATCGTATAATGACAAATACCACCTCCTCTCCATTATATTTAAATGGATGGATCAAGTACGAGGTAACCAGGTAGTAAATTAACACACGTCAGGATGTTCTAGGACAGGGGTGTCAAACTCATGTCATGGCGGGACTTTTTTCCCCTTCCCTAAAGTGGGCGTGGGAATGGCCAGCGCGTGATGCATCTGGCCTGTGGCCCACGAGTTTGACAGCCCTGTTCTAGGATGAGGAAATGACCAGTCAGTGTTTTTTTTAAAACAAAAAAACATACAGGGACAAAGTGCCTTTGTATAAATAATAAACAAACAAACTAATAAACAAACAAACAACCCCAGAAAGTAATTAAGGCAAAAACATACATTAAACCAATGAAAAATGGACCCCAGTGTGCTATTTATAAGTAGTATAACCTTCTGAAAGCTGATATGTGGTCCTGAAGAACAGATTCAACAATCATTGTTAAACAACATTTTCTTTTTACTTCTTGGCTTCTTCTACTTACTAGATACAGGATCATTATTCCGCAAGACTCACATAAAGATCCCACTTTATCAGGAATGCATCATTAGAAATACATAGTTTATTATGCAGTTTAAGAAGTATACACACACACACACACACATATATGTATATGTATATATGTTAAATGTATTTAAGTATAGTGTGGAATCAATGAAAAGAAAAAAATAGAAATCCTTGACTAGGTGAATGGTACTTTATAAATTAAGTACCAGCCTTTCAGGAGAAAAAAAAACACGTCTGTCATCTGGAG